GTGTTGCTCCCGTGCCTCGCTCAGCCAGCGAGCGGGAACCGGTCTGCATGTGGGATCCGAACCCTCGGACGGGAGCGCCGCTGCGCTTCCCAAGCGGCGCACTATCCAGTGCGCCACCGGGCCGGCCCCACACCTAATAATTTTTACTGCCAAATCTATTGTTCCAGCCTAGACTTTCACTGTAAGTTTTAGATGGGTTTATGTAATTGCCAACTGGCTATTTCCTCCAGAATGTTCAATTGAATTCTCTCCAAAATGTATTCATCTTAGCTCAATTAGTGACGTTACCCATTGCTCATCCGGGAAGATACCCTGGGCCATTCTAGACACATCACCTCCAGTCATTCACCAAGTCCTGTTTGAGATACCTTCTAAATAACTCCCATCCTCTCTACTGTTATTGTTTTGTCTCACCAAGCTTTTCTCTAATCCATTCTTCATGCTGCCAGCTGAGAGCTTTCTAAAATGCAAGTTTTATCACTCCATTGCCATTGCCCTAAGTTCTTCAATGGCATCTCTTACTGAAATGTCTAAAGCACAACATTTACAGTCCTTTCATCTGGCCTCTGCCTATCTCCCCAAGCCTCATTTTCTTGTTTTTAGACATCTCTGGGATACAGACATACTGAAATATTTCATTTTCTCAAATATCCCAAGCACCTGTATCTTACTGAGCCATTCCGTTGGTGGCTTCTCTCTGGACAACCTCTTCCTTCACCTAGATTTGAGTTCAGTTTTATTTACTGAGTTGGAGGTGATGGACATCAAGATAAAAATTTTTGAAGTAGTCTTGGAGCCACTCAGGGTGGGAAATAATCTACTCAGAGTGACCTCTAAGTTTAAAGACTGGGGAAGAGGAAAAGGAATCAGCATTGGAAGTCAAGGACTGTTATTCACAGAGAATAAACAGGACAGGGCTGGCTGGTTAGCTTAGTTGGCTAGAGCATGGTGCTGAGAACAAGGTCCAGGGTTTGATCCCTGTACTGGCCAGCCACAAAAATAAATAAAAACACACACAAAAGCAGATGAGGTAATGAGGTAAAAACATACACACACACACACACAGTAATGAGGTAACATTCACACACAGAGTAATGAGGTAACATTCACACACACACACAGTAATGAGGTAACATTCACACACACACAGTAATGAGGTAACATTTACACACACACACACACACACACACACACACCAGTAATGAGGTAACATTTCCAGATATGGTAGGCAACAGTATCAAGTGCAGCGGGAAGGACACACACACACACACACACACACACACACACACCAGTAATGAGGTAACATTTCCAGATATGGTAGGCAACAGTATCAAGTGCAGCGGGAAGGACACACACACACACACACACACACACACACACACCAGTAATGAGGTAACATTTCCAGATATGGTAGGCAACAGTATCAAGTGCAGCGGGAAGGACACACACACACACACACACACACACACACACACCAGTAATGAGGTAACATTTCCAGATATGGTAGGCAACAGTATCAAGTGCAGCGGGAAGGACACACACACACACACACACACACACACACACACCAGTAATGAGGTAACATTTCCAGATATGGTAGGCAACAGTATCAAGTGCAGCGGGAAGGACACACACACACACACACACACACACCAGTAGTGAGGTAACATTTACACACACACACACACACACCAGTAATGAGGTAACATTTCCAGATATGGTAGGCAACAGTATCAAGTGCAGCGGGAAGGACACACACACACACACACACACACACCAGTAGTGAGGTAACATTTACACACACACACACACACACCAGTAATGAGGTAACATTTCCAGATATGGTAGGCAACAGTATCAAGTGCAGCGGGAAGGACACACACACACACACACACACACACCAGTAGTGAGGTAACATTTACACACACACACACACACACCAGTAATGAGGTAACATTTCCAGATATGGTAGGCAACAGTATCAAGTGCAGCGGGAAGGACACACACACACACACACACACACACCAGTAGTGAGGTAACATTTACACACACACACACACACACCAGTAATGAGGTAACATTTCCAGATATGGTAGGCAACAGTATCAAGTGCAGCGGGAAGGACACACACACACACACACACACACCAGTAGTGAGGTAACATTTACACACACACACACACACACCAGTAATGAGGTAACATTTCCAGATATGGTAGGCAACAGTATCAAGGGCAGCAGGAAGGACAAAGCAAGTAAAGCCAAAGAGAAAGCCAGTACAAAATTTTGGCCTTGGGGTACAAAGTATCCTATGATCCTTTTTAAGTCTCCTGTTGTATTTTGCAGGCATTACAAGCTCATTATTTTCAGGAGGCAAGAGTAATTCTATTTTAGTTCTACAGCAA